TGAAGTTGAGTTCCACATATCATCCTCAGACGGATGGATAGACGGATGGACAGAAGAAAAAAAACCATTTAGTCTTTAGAAGATTTGTCGAGGGCTTGTGTGATAGAACAAAGAGGAGCTTGGGATGGTCACTTGACATTGATTGAATTTACTTATAATAATAGTTTCCATTATAGTATTGGAATGGCTCCATATAAAGCATTGTAAAGTAGGAGGTGTAAGACCCTATTGTGTTGTTATGAGTCAGACAAGAGTGTTGTGCTCAGACATGAGGTTGTGCAAAAGACAACTGCGAAGATAAAGATGATCCAAGAGAAGATGAAGGCTTCTCAGAGTCATCAAAATATTTATCATGATAAGAGGAGAAAGGACCCTGAGTTTAAGAAATATGATCATGTATTTTTTAGAGTTACTCCAGTAACCGGTGTTGATAGAGCTTTGAAGTCGAGGAAACTTACGCCATATTTTGTTAGTCCGTATCGAATATCAGAGAAGATAGGTGAGGTGGCTTATCGGATTACTTTTCCGCCGTCACTTGCAAATTTGAATGACGTGTTTCATGTGTCTCAGTTGAGAAAGTATATTTCGAATGTTTCACATGTGATTCAAATGGATGATGTACAAGTGAGAGATAACCTAATTGTTGAGACGTTACCATTACAAATAGAAGGACGGTAGGTGAAGAAACTATGAGGCAAGGACATTTCCTTAGTGAAGGTATTATGGGGCGGACCAGTTGGTGAAAGTTGGACTTGGGAACGCGAAGATCAAATGAGAGAGTCTTATCTGATGATGTTTTCGTCGGGTAATTTTTTAGGGCAAAAATTCTTTTAAGTGGGGGATAGTTGTAACACCATTAATTATAGATTATTTATTTATTTAATTAATTTAGCATAAATATATGAGTCTTTGTGAAGTGTTTGGTATATATGATGTTTTGGTGCTTTGTGTTAGTCCTTGTGACGGTATATGATGTGTATTTGTGATTCAAATGTGATGCAATAGCGATGAAGTGATGAATAAGATGTTTAAGATGATGAATTGTATGGTGTAGGATGGGATAATAAGAGGGTTTAGAATTTAAATAATTAGTTTAGAATTATTTAAATTTAATAGTGATTATTTAGAATTATCTTGATTTAAATAAATAGAATAATATGTGATGTTGATAGATTAAGGCATTGTGGTCATTAGTGAAGGATAAGTGAGGGTGTGATGGGAAGGTCATTATTAGGGGTATACGAGGGAAATTTTTGTATAATGAGAAGGTTTAGGATTTTACACACTCATTCTGTATGATATAATTTAGAAGAACATTGTGGAGAAAAGAGAGCTAGGGCACAAAGAGACAAGAAGAGCATAGGAATCCCGGTAGAACACAGAGAGGAATCGATCTCTAGAAATAATATTAAGGTAGATGGAGTTTTGTCATTGTAATCATATTTTATTTAAGGTTTATATGTGTGGTGGATTTCCTTAGGTTTTGGTAGATCGTGATTTGGTATTGTTTGATGAGAAATTGATGAACTGGTGATGAATAATGACTTGTAATTGATGTATAATGAGTATAGAATTATAGGTTGTTGATAGATGATGAAACTCTGTGATTAGATGGTGTTTTAGGACCTTTAATGTGATGAAATCATAGAAGATTTGGACTGGTTTAGTGCAGAAATCACAACAGGAAAATCATGTTCGCGCATTATCGTCAGGCGTTGAAAGTAGTGTCATCGGGCGACATATGCATTTGGTCGTCTTCAGGAGAGGACGAGACAATGGAAAAGGTGGAAAAAGGATGACGCTTCTGGAGTGAGTCGCTTCTAGCGTCGCCAAGCGAAGCGAATGTGAAGGGTGTGTCGCTAGGCGACGGGAGTGTGCCGCCAGGCGACGGATGGTAGATTTGCTTGGTTGTGTCGGACAATCTTAAAATGGTCATAACTTTAGTTCTAGAGCTCGGATTGAGGCGTCTTTCATATATATATATAACACAATGAACTTAACTATGTGGGAAAAAATGAGACTTAAGGTGTATATCTCTTATACCTAAGTTAGAATAGAATTATGTTCTCCGTGTTGAATTGCAATGATATTTTGTTTATGATGATGCTTTGTGTATGATGATGATGTTATGTTGTTGTTGAAACAACCAACTGAAAATCATCAAAAAATGAAGTCGCCATTAAACGTCTTTCATCCCACATGAAGGGAAATGTGAACATCGAGAAAACCTAAGAAAGGAGAAGTCACGGTCTTGCGACCGAGAGATCGGGTAAGAGAGCCTGTTATGTGAGGGAAAGGTATTAGCACCCTACATGTCTGTAGTACTCTATGGTATCCACACTTGTTATCTATCTTATGGGTGTTATTAATCTATGCTTATTGTACTACTGAGGAAGAATTCATGCAAAATAAAAGAGAAAAGTATGTAGGGAAAATAAAGGTGTGCTCGCTTGGGCCCTACCCCAATGCCTACGTATCCTTTTTGAAGAATCAGAGTGACCGTAGTTCGGCTCACATGTTTTGTTTGTTTCGTGTTTTTTATGAACAACGTTAATTCCTCCTTCTGCCGCAGCTCGACCTTTTGAGAGTCACGCGTTGGCACAGAAGTAAATTAACATGTCCTTACCTGAAAATGGTTTTGAGTTACACCCTCAAGGCAAGATACCATATTTTATTGGTTTGTGTTTTGTTAACGTGAAAAGGGGTTTAAGTGTGATTAACATGTTTAATGATTTGCTAAAAAAGAAGGTTTTAGTTTTAAATGCATATGAAAAAAGGAGAAGAAAAGAGTCTACGGGAGACTAACCTATTTCTAATCCTAATGTTATCATGCAATGGTAGTCCTAAGGTTTGGATTAACAAAATGGAAACGCCTACCTAATGTTAGCTTGCATGGTTTGCAACCTAAGGTCTAACTTGAATCCGAAAGGGACAAGCATATCCTAAGGGAACATTGTATAGAAAGCAAGTGAGCAAACAAGCTCAAAAGAGCACAAACATAAAATGGTAAGGAAAAGAAGCGAAATGCTTTAGTCAAGGGGAGGCGTGTCACCCGAGGCAAACAAGTGGGAGTGAAATATAAAAGAAGAGAAATGCTTTAGCTAAGGGGAGTGGATCACCCAAAGCAAATAAGCGGGAATAGGATGTAAAACAAAAATGTGATATCCAAAGCGACTGAACACCTAACCAAGATATAGAAGATCGAGGTAGGCGACAGAAGGCAATGTGAACAATCACGGAGTGTCAGCATCAGCCAATGCAAACTCCTGAAAAAGTGTGGGGGTTTGATTGCCAAACCCTTTTTCACTTGACGACTCGATAACAAGAATAGGCACAACTCTAAAGCATCATGGTGCATCATGAGCTAAGGATGACATGGAAGAAATTTTGGGGTTTGATTACTAACCCCTTCCTGCTCGCCTCCTTTTGAGGACTTATTATCTGTAACATATGCGGGCACAAATGTAAATACACCTACAAAATACCTACACAAAGGTAGAGTTTTAAATAAACCACACACAAGTAGCACATAGTGGAAAACAATGTGGAATTTCCCTAAATGGGTCTTTAAATAAACCAGAGGGGTTCCTGACATGATCGGCAACGGAGACCCCCGTCATACTTCTCTATCCTAATTCTCATGGCATTAGAAAGCAATAAAGTCCCTACTTCTCATGATATCTAGGAAGCAGTAAAGAAATGCGATAAAGTGCGAAAAATGTAAAAGCAATAACGGTGACTACCAAAAGCGAGTAGATCATCGAAAGAGGATGAAAGAAATGGAGAAGCATGGAGTGCGCATCGAGAAAGCTTCACCAAGAAACAAGCAAAGTCAGAAATGATATCCAACTAAGATAAAAGCAAACGCGTGTAGAGAATGCAACGCATAATCAGAAGTTCCTTCATACAATATCACAATATCACATGCATCTAGACAATAAATAATATGATATGAATTTCTCAGGACGATGAGAATAAGGTGTGTCGCATCGGAAGCAAGCATATGCCGTATGCTTCGATCATATAACAACTTGTTATGTTACATGATCGAAAACACCAAAAATATACCTTGCACAATGAACAAATGTGTCAAAAATAATGAGGTACAACAATATGAAAATATGAATAAAAACTAAAGAAAAAGTTATTTTTTTAATTATTTTTTTTATGTGAGGAAAAATTCTATCAAAAAATAAAGAATTGATAGAAAAATTCTATTATATTCCACTATTCTTTATTAATTTCTATCATATTAATAAAAAAAAACTACCAAAAACTAGAGAATTAGTTCCTAATCACTAAAAACACTAACAAGTCTTATTGATTTTGTAATTTTTTTATCAACAATCTATAACAAAAATAAGGAAAATGTAATGGAAATCTAAAAAGAAAATTAAACTCAATGGGTGTATGTTGAATCTGCAGAAGCAAGATTCAGGCACTAGGCCCACTGAATGCAGATCCTAGAAGAGTTTTTTTGTTGTAAGGCTTATGCCATGCCAAAAATTCCACCAATGGGCCCAGGAAAGGGACAATTTGGTCCACTACAACAACATAACCCAATCCACTTCCTTTATTCAGCTTATTAAAAAAACAAATAATAGTTAAAAAAATTAAACTAAAAATTAAAAAGGGATTAGGGTTATAAGTTTGTGGGACTGTTGAACTTCCTTTGTAAAACAAGAACTCTCGTCATTCTTTTCTCACTGTGTCGCCGCTTAACCCTCTGATCGATCATCAACATTCAGCCACCGTAAAATATTATCCCACCTTACCCTGTCCAATTCATCTTTGTCTTCGCCTATAACCTGAACCCTCTTGTTCCAATTTTCTCTTAATCCTCTTAGATCTAGCAAGAATCTTCTAAATCCCCAGGCCTTTCAAAGTTAAATTAAACGTACATGGCGAACGATCTTGTTGTAAAACCTTAGGGATTCTACTCTATATCATTCATTATACACAGTGGTGTCAAGAAGCCATGGAAGAGAATGATGGAACGCCTACCTAACCAATGGCGAAAACGACGGCTCAGGTTGCGACATCTCAAGTATGTTGAATCTTCTACATTCTTTCTCTTCTCCTCTGCGTGTGATTATCTTCGCTCCTTCTTCTTCTGATTCAGTTTTCTGAGTCTGAGTGGTGATTGTTATTGCGTGTGTGTTGTTGTAATGTTGTTGCGTTTTTTGTAGAATCGGTGTTGCAAAGTGAAGATGAGTGATGATGTTGATGCAGGATCGGTGATGACAATGATGGAAGCTGTTGAAGATCTGATAAAGATTGATGATGATGAGTGAAGAAAGTGAAGCAGTTCTGAAGTTTTTGCAGAGATTGGAATCGCGGATTCTGAATGATGATGAAAGCAAGTTACCGATGTTTAAAAAGATGCAGAGAATTTTGTTCATAGAGAGTAAAGAGAAGGTTGAAAATGTATAGTTGAAGGTCGAAGGTGGAAAAGAAAGAGAGTGCAGAGAAGATTGAAGATTTTTGTGAAGATTGGAGGAGAGAAAGTGGAAGTAATTTTATGACTTTTTCTCTATTATTCTCCAAAATTGAAGAAGCGTGAATGGAGGAAGTGAGAATGAAAGGTAATTTCCTGAGTTTTTTCCTGTGTTCTATCGTATCTCTTTCTTTCTTCCTGTTATATCTGTTAGGAAGTCGGTTAGAAAATAGTTAGGAAGTTTGTTAGGGAGATAAATGGTGGAGATACAATCTGAGACTGAGTTTGTTATGAAATGTCTATTCTTTTAGTTAGTCAGTTGGCAGTTCTGTTATGGTTGTTGGTTATAGTTAGTTTTATGAACTGAATTGTTTTCTTGGTCTGATTTTTCTGTTGGGTCCTGGGTTTATGAGCTTTCCTTTATATTCTATTTTTCTATTTTGAGCACCAACTTGCATTTTTCTATTTTGCGTTTTACAGCTTTTCTTCTGCATTTTAATTTCCTCAACCTTGATGTTATACTTTCAGTTTGTTGAGCTTCCAGGAGTTGCTTTCCATCTGCAGACGCATATGCTGCTTGTTTGTGAACTGTATGGTTAATTGTATGGAGCTGGTACAAATTTAGTCAGTATTGGGATGATGATTCTGATCTGATATGTATTAACATTGCAGGTTTTAGAACTTGATGAAGAGGTCATGATATTGCAAGGTTTAAAGTATGATAGCAAGTGATATGAAGATGGGAAAGATCAAGTTTGGTCATGAAGCATTATTCTTGAGAAATTAGGATAGGTTTTATGTCTTCAAGTAACTTGATGTAAAGTCCTTTGTAACCCTATACTTGAATGTCTAGAATGATGTTGACAATGTAATGGCAAGTCCCAAATGTTCAATGTAATCCTCTCTCCCAAATTGATTTTCGTTTCTTTAAATTCCCTTTGACTTTACACTTTTGGATGGAATGATGATAATTTTAATCTTGTAATTGAATCTTGGAATCAAATATGAATTTGAATGCCTTATAATACTTGAATTTGGAATGAAACAAATGGTCAGCTTTAAATTCCGATTGATCCAAATATTTGAATCTTTCAACTCTGCATCCTTGATATGAAAATGATACTTGAATTTTAAGTGAATGCATAATGAATATGAAGTTGAATTATGACTTGAATTTCAAGAAATCCCATGTATAGTCCTTTCGATTTTAACTTGAATCTTATCTAGACATTATGCCCAAAACATATGCTCTCGGATAATTTGAACTCAAGGCATGAAGTAACCAATCTAAATCAATCAATTCTCAATAAAGGCCTATCTTCAATCTTATCCTCTAATTCAAACCAACTCTTACATGATAAGTAATAAGTATTTGAAAGAATGATGATAAATCCGCAAATCATGTCTTGTACCATGGCTCACACTCTTAGTGATTCAAACCACACGATATCTTGATCTTAAAACAAAATGAATTCTCTTGGGGAATCCCCGAAGATGTGTGAGATTTGACATGAAAACCCTGACTAATCCTCCATTGATGAAAATTTGATCCATAGTAAACATGAATTAAAACCCTAATTCCACTACTCATTACTTGAAGAATAAATCAGATGAAATCAACTTTATTTAATATATACACCTCAACACTATGGAGACTCTAGCTTACCAAACTACTAATATTTTGAACCTCAAGTGCCTTTATTGAATGAAATGCATGTTATGCTAATGACCTAATGGAATATTCGCAGTTGAATGCAAAAGTCTAATCCAGATAACAGTGAAAGGGCAGGACAAATTTGGGGTATTACAGTTGTGTTGATTACTATGATGATGTTATCATGTTGTGTTGATTACTATGATGTTATGATGATGTTTGTGGTGAATCATGAATGGTGATGCGTGTTGACAAGTCATGGTCGTATTAAATATGTTGTTGCGCATCATTGCATTCATGGCATATTCCAGGACTTCGGTCCAACGAAGTTAGGACTTCGGTCCAGTGAAGACAATAGGACGATTGTCCAGTGAAGGCAACAATCCCATACTGTGGATTGGGTGCAACAGTGAAGTGCTCTAGTTCCAAGCGAGAATCGATCCTATGGTGGGGACCTTTGGAGATAACGATGACTGAGTCATCGGTGAAGTTTTGGTATAACATGTAGGAGTCTATGACGCTGCATTATATTTTGTGTGACATTACATAATGATTTATTTGTGATGTTTGACGATAATTGTGTATGATGATATGTGTTCGTGTATTGATGAAGTGGTGAAGGTGTGAGTATAACATGACGATATGATGATGTGTGATTCCTTGCTTATGTGCATATTTACTATGTCTATTCCTTATGTCTTATATAATGATTATGATTTACTCACCCTTTCTGTTTGAATGTTGCCTCCACGTGGGTAACGCGTATGTGATCGAAAATAGTTCGTAGAAGCATTAGAGGATTGCTTCAGAGTGCATTTATTTGCTTTTGTTGAATAAAGGGAGTCTTGCTCTGATATGTAACATCGGGGTTGGGATCGAATGATTGGAACTTATGTTCTTTGTTTTTGTTTTAAGATGTTGAGTCACCCTACGTGGTACTCAAGATGTTTTGATTTATAAGTATGAGTTATGAAGTAAGAATAATTTTTATGAAGTACTATAATGAAGTGTTTTGAACTATGATTTATGCTGCCATGATTCGAAGAACTAAATGTTGATTTTATCTTGTTAAAGATTTTAAAAACCCGTGTTATGGAGGAGGATGTATTGTTGTGATGTTTTATATGAAGATGTAACACCCTTGTTTAGTGATATACTCTTATTTATTTATTAGAATAATTGAGAATATTCCTTTGGGTTTAGAAGGGTGTTACATTTTTTATGCTTTCCAGTACTGTTTTTAATGTTTATACCTTTCCTATTTTCTTTATGTCAAAACAGATGTCTCAACATGTCATAGGACATCTGAGTTCTGTCATACCAGAATTTCAATTGGTATCATAGCAGGCATCCTGTATGTTTCTGGATGAGATTCGAGGGGGATACTTCCTGGTTATGAGCAAGGTAGAAGGTTTCTACTAAAAAACTGTTTGAACTTGGAGAAGTTCATATTGGTGGTTGAATGGTCCCTAGAAGTGGAGGATGGACCGTTCATGACAGAATGTGTATTGGACCTGTCTATTGTTATCAGGCATGTAGCTTTGGTGGAAAGTTATTATGTTGAGGGTTTGATTTATTTTCAAACCTAGATTAACCTGTTTCACCTGGAGTATGATGTGTTTGTGCAAAGGTTTATGTTGTCCCTGAAGGTTGTTGAGGAGTTTTCTGGTTTGTGTTTTGCTACACATATATCTGATGGAAAACTCCTTGTGGTTTTGTGTGTTGGGTCTGCAACACTATATTTTCCTCTAAAGGTGTATCACATGGTGTGGTGATACTTGCGGAGAGGTTTGAATAACTTTTTAGAGTTTCCAAAGATACTTGAGGTTTATCTCAAGTCTACTCATAAACGCACTCTTATATGAGTTTGTTGAAGAGAGATCTCATAGAGGAAATTTATTTTTCTTCCAACCCTAAAAGGTCAATCTCCAGGCTTTGATAGAGGATCTCTTGGTGTGTTCCTAGTGAAGGGAATTTATGTCCTACCAGATGTTGGAAAATCAAACCAACAGATTGTACAGAATCTTGTTGGATAAAGGTAGGGCATAACAGATACTTGGGTGTTGAACAAATATGTTTTAATCACTTATATTTGGAACCTACTCCTGATTTGGAAGATGAGGCATCTATATTTTGTGTCTAAGAAGTTTCTTTTCTAGTAACATGTCTTAGATAAGTATGTTGGTCATGACACGATCAACATATCGGTTACTCATTAGATTAGTTTATTTCTAATCTAAGTGAGTTAGAGTGAATAGGTTGTGATTTGTTTTCATGTGGAGGCTTGATAAAGGTATCTCTTCCAGATCCTTTATATGTTGAGGTCAAGCTAAAATGTCAAGGACATTCTCTCTAGACGTCTGGAAGATCCTTCTGATCAAAGGAGACAGATTTATGGAATCTTGTTTATGGCCACAGAACATATTTTGTTTGAGGGAAGTAATGGATTAACTACATGATGTGCAACTACTGTATAATTCTCAAGGATTTTTTAGCATTTAATAATGGGGAGTCATTAATCTGAAGCTAGAAGATCTTGAAGAAAAAAATGTAAGATATAATGCCTTGACATCCTTGGTTTGAGAATTTATTTTTCTCAATATGAATGATGTTGTTTCTCATTAATAGGATAGAGGTTGTTTACTCTAACTTGATATCTCTTGTAAATTCTATGATAGTATGGAACTCTTCTTCTACTGTAATGGAAAATTATTTCAAGAATTGTCTACATTGGAGTTGTGTCAACCAAAATTTTATGGTTGACTGGTGTCTGCACTGTTGAAATGTCATCTAATTCACCTAGGATGGGAATTTCAGTTCGTTTGAAGCAAGGAGGAGTTATTAGTTTTTGGACCAAAGGATTATGGTTCCTTGGTATCTATGGGAAGTTCCTCTCTCTGCTAGGATTCAATTATGTGGTGTCCTCACATAATGGAACAAATGTTTTACAAGGATTGAAGGGAACCCTTGTGTGTTGGAGAAGCAGACTTATTCTGAACAGTCTATTTTGTGATGACCAGTAAATGCTATTATTGTTGAAGTCTGCTCCAGATACGTGTTATAGGGAATCTCCTCTTTAGGTGCAGAAGGATGGCATCCAACACCTCAAAGTCGGACATGATGTCTAAATATTGTACTTATAAGAAGAAATCTTCTTGAGGTGTGCATGCTCTACATGTATTGGTCTAAATTTAAAGGTTGGTCAACTACTGATGGTTGATCCTCTTGTATCCCTTACAAGAGTTATGGATTACTGTGGTGTCTTTAGACCATATCTAATGGTGAAATTCATGTGTTTGAGACTGATGTCG